AAATGTTTAAATTTGATTTAATTTTTCTATTCAATTTTTCTGGCTAAAATAGATCATTAAGTACTTGAGATGATTTATTTATAGGATAAAAAATTTTGTTTCCTATTTATTTATAAATAATAGATTTTAAATATTATTGTATACAAAATAAATATAAAATATTATATAATACTTTACCATATATATTATATAATCAAATGATTTTTTGAAAAGCATCTTTTATGATACCTTAATAAATTACATAATTTTTAAATTTACAGGAATTATATGCTCTTTATTCTAAAAATATATTACTAGTTGTTCCTTTGTTTCATCAATAATTTTGCAACCCTTTTTTCCTTTACATTTTTATATAATTCTACTATATGATAATGTCTACATTTATCTCATATTGAGCTATTTCAAATATATTCTCAATAAATGCATTTACCTGTAATAATATTATAAATATAGAATTCAGGTTTAACTTGTATATCTTTTGTTAAAAGTTTTATAAGACTATTTACTATTTTTGTTAACTCTTATCATATATACTTATCAATTTTGATTATTTCATTATTATAAAAAGATCTAAACAAATTATTTGAGTTTTTTTTTACAAAAAAAATATTTGGTATTGATGATTCTTCTATTAAATTAAGAAGAAAAACTAGTTATCCTTAATTTACTCTTCGTAACTTATCTAAGCATAAACTATTTTCTGTTTGTTATTAATAAATATAATAGTTATTTAATAATTAAATGAAGTTTAATCAACATTTAAAAATAAAAATACCTGTTGTTCAATTGTTTGAGTATTAAATAATGTAACCAGTTTAGATTTAAAAATATTTAGTCCACTTTCATCTATTATCATATTATATTAGAATTTTATTTTATACATATATTTTAAAAATATTAATGCAATTTGATTATCAGTATACACAGATTCTATTATTCTATTAATTCATTTTGTAAAATTATTAGTAGTCTATAACAATCCATTTGTTATGTTAGTTAGAATTTGACTTGCATCTATAAAGTTTATTCACCATTCAAAACACATCTAGTTCTTTAATAAATCATTTATTATTTTTCTCTCTTAATTTTTTATATAAATAGGGTATTAATAAATTCATTAAAGAGTTTAACCATTTCAAATGCAGCTATTTTAGTTTGACATCATCTTGTAAGTTTAAATGCTAAGGGTGCTGACATATATTAGCTAATATTTTAGAAGGTGGGGGGTAATAGCGAATCTTAGGTTACACATAACTTAAAATCACGTGATAATATTGGTAATAGTATTTTATTAATTTTTCATATAATCATATGATCAGATATACGTTACGCAATACCAATTTTATCAATTATCAATCTTGATCTGACATGCATTCCCTCAAACGCATTTCTTCAAAAGGAAACATTTTTTCTCATTGTTGTTGTGATAGAAGAAGAGAGAAATCGTCAAGAGTTGAGGAGTTTTGGCTTTTACCTTTTCCTTTGAGTCATCTACGGTTAGCAGGATGTACTGTTCGTTTATGATTCGTCAAAAAAGTAAGTGTTGGAAAATATTTATTACATTCAGAACAACAAAGATGCAAATATGTTATTTTATCAAGAGATGGGCAATGGGAATCGTAATCAGGAATTTTTAATAGGTCATAATATTCGAGAAGGTGTATTGCGTTGGTAAAGTGTCCGTCTTTAGCTTTGGTGATAGGAGGTAAGAAGCCATTGTTTGATTGAAGGAATTCTATGGCTTCTTTTGCACGAGATGGATCACAACAGCTGATATTTGTGCATCGTTTAATATCGAGAGAATACTGGCATAGATTACAATAGTTTTCAATCCATGACCATGAAAGCAATCAGTTAAGTCATCTTCTTTTTCTTGTTGTTTCTTTTTTTGTTTTTCTTGTCGTTTTCGTTCTTCTGTTTTTTCTTTTTCTGTACTCTCAAATTGTAGGTTTTCAAATAGATTGACGAATTCTTCAACATACCGAGCATCTACGCTTTTTCCGAAAATTAAATTATGATGCCAAATGTAATAAAGAACACCTCCGGCGTATTGATAATTTCGAAGAACCAACACCAGATCTATCACTTTGCCTTGCGTATTTAAATGTGTTCTAAAGTGATCGATTGGTAATACGATACCTACTAGTTTGCCTGATAGCGTTGCTATACCTTTTTCGACCAGATTATATTTGGATTACCCTGAAGCATGTGTCCTTACAGTCAGGTAATCCAAATTAAATTTTCAAAAAAGATGGCAATATATCTTAATATTCTTTAGATGTCTCAGGTTCTCATCTGATCCTCTGTTTACTAACAAAACTCAGATTGATCAAATTTCTCCGTTGGTCTTCAATGCATCATCATATTGATTATTTAAAGAAAGATTTTCGAGGTCTTGCATATGTGTGAGGGAAGATGTACCAAGGGACCATTGGCGTCATACAAAAATGACAAGTTGACCTATTCGTAGTTCATTATTTGAATCATTCGGTTTGATTATAAGATAAACCGATGGAACTAACTTTTGTCAATACCTTACAGGAAAATCGTGATTGGCCATACGAACAGGCTCGTGAACTGACTGCAATGTTTGAAAGGTCTGACCTACAGCAGGTATCCCAAGACCTATCTTTGCCTTGTCATCTTGGGAGATGACAACTGACATATCAGCAAAGACAGTTGCAAATTGTCTCGCACATATAACAGAAGCGAGGCAATAGTGACCATCAGGATGATCGCGTGTCTCCGTTCGTGAAACTCCAGCCACTGCGATCCATGCTGGATGGTGGTGAACTCTTGCAGCAATAGAATTGGATGAGCGTAGCAATAGATAATATAGACATTATATTTCTTCTCAAGATTTTTACGCAAATTTTCGATGATACGAACTTTCACCACTTCTTTTCGTCATTTCTCATCAGCTGAACTGAATTCGACTGAATTGTGAATATGATCATGTAATTCCGGGTGTTTGAAAAGAAGGGATGGACGATTGGGTCTATCGTATCGTATAATCTCCTAATTTTCTGCAAGCATTTTCTGTTTTTTTTCTTTACAATTTTGAACATATTTTGCGTTTCTTTTTAATTTGACAATCTTGTCCTGATTTGATTTAATTTGAGCTCGAAAGTCTACTATTTTTGCATACATATTATAGCGAAGTTGAGAATCGGTTGTGATATTGTAGATTTGCTCAGATTCAATAAGTTTTTTTTCAGCCATCATTATTTCACTTGCCGCCTAAAGATGGCGCCTTAATTAGTTGCAACAGATGACAAATAAGCATTACAATGTTACAACGAATTGCAACATTATTAAAATTTAAGTTGCAACAGGTGACAAATAAGTGTCACAATGTTGCAACGTCATCTTTATTGCCGCCTTTTGTTGAGATGTTGTATTAATAGATATTTCTGGTATAGGTTTTACTGAACGAATAGCAGGAAGAGGAGGAGTTGGTTTTTCTCTAGGCATAGAAGAATATCTTGGTCTCATTGTTTATATATCATACAGATTAAATTGAATGGTTAAGTATTTTCTGATTACATTATCGATTTCTTCTGCACCTTTGTTTTTAATTTTATTCCATTTTTGAGATGCTTCACGGCAAACATTAGTACAGTTCAGGGTACCGTTTCCTGTTTTTACCATAAGACTATATACATAAGCATTGAAAAATTCCTGATATTTATTTGTTGGCGAGTTATATATTAGCTTTTTTATTAAACTTGGGACTAAATAAAAAGGTTTGTCGACTCATATTTGAAACAAAATATTAATTTTTTTTTACAAAAAGTTTTTATAGGTGTGAAATGGAAAGCTGAATACAACGCGTAAAAGCCTGCAGTAAGGCAGTTTTTAAGAAAATACGTGAAATAGGGGAATTATTAAGTAGATCTTATTTAAATTGAAATTAATTAGCTTCAATTCAAATTTAATTAAACTAATTTGAATAAAAACTTGTGCAAAATCAAATCTTTTGCAGCACCCCACAGCATCCTGCAGCACATAGGATATAAAATTGGTATGATCGTTTAATTAAAACTGTTTTATATATTTAAAAAAACTAATATCTCAAATTATAAAAATAAGATGCTTTAATGGTTTAAATGTTATTTGAAATAAAAAAATTAAAACAAATTGATAATAAATATTTTTTTTTATTATTTGTGTTTCTTGATTTACTTTTAACTTACAAATCTAAAAAGGGAAATGATTGGCAGCACGTGATCATCTTACCTGGGGGTGGGGGGTAGACGCTTATATTAAAATTATATTAGCTAATATTTGTCAGTGCTCTAATGCAATTAAATATTTAATATAAAAAAATTAATAATATATAGTAGTATAAACATAAGGTTTAATTAAGATATTACTAAAATTGTGCTGGTATATACCAATTATTAAGATTTTCTCATATATTTTTATTACATAAAACTAGTACAATATTGGTTTACGTAGTATATTTTGAATTGCAAGTTTTGATAGTTGATATTTGTTAATCATTACATATAGTTTTAATTATCATTTTGACATTTATGAATTTGTTGAAACTATTACCTGATAACAAATTTTCATAATACTATCTATGTTGATATAATGTATCATTGTAAGAAATATTTTTTTTAATAGCATCAATAGCCAATTTTATAGTTAAACTGTTTTCTTTATTGCTTAGTGCTATTAAAAAAATTTTAAATTAAAAAAATAACTTGTCAATTAAAAATTATTTTTATTTTATAATCAAAGTATAATTACTAAATGCAAGAAGTAATGCATGACCAGTTCCATTTTCAATAACTATTGATAATACTGAAGCACAATCTATATTCAAATCATATTTTCTATTAATACTAACACATATTTATTCATAATCACGTTAAATGATAATTTTATCAGGTGAATCAGTAGATTAATTTAGATCTGCAACTTGATAATATAATATATAATCATGAGGTTTAATTCATTATTAATTAAGTTATTAAGTTGCGTCTATGGGCCTAAATTGTCTTTAAACTTTTATCATCTTTTTTAATAAATTGCTGAAGCTTGCTATTATCACAAATTAAATGCTGATTTGTTAAAGATTTAGAAATTGTATCTTCTGAAGCATCATTAAGTGGAGCTAATATTTTAGCTTTAATTCCTTTCACATTTCTATGATCTGCCCTTCTGCTAATTACTATTGAATCTCTAACAGCATAGGTTAGATTAATGTGAGAAATTTTTGGTATATTAGTAGTTATTTATTGTGCTAGATTGTGATTTCCTTGAATGCTAATTCGTAATGGAGTTTCTGAATTTAATCATGATAAATAGCATTCAGAAATAACTTTAACTTTGCATAAATGCATATCATTTGCATTTTTCAAATTTTGGGTAGATTATAACTTTTACATGATTCAAGACAACTTTCAACATCATTACATAAGCGTTGACAAGTATTTTCATCCCCTGAACAGTATATAACCCAATACCAACATTGCCGATCTTTATCAATTCTTAAGTTAATATTAGTGAATAACTCATTTCCTTTTGAAGTTAGAACTAGAACATCATCAATTCGGTTTGTAGATTTCATGTAGTTGTCCATTCTAAATAATCAGCAGCATCTTGAACACGCTCAATGGTTAAAATTCCAGCCTTAACTAATGTAGGTGTAACCTGTCTGCTTTGCTTCTTTAACCGGCAAAATTTAATATAGGTACATTTTCTAAATACCATTCAGCAGCTCGACCAAATAACACATTTACAGAAACATCATCATTTATATTTTATTTGTTCTTCATAAGTTTGCATATTAAAAAAATATATTTAATTGTGTTACAGGAGAAAATAGAAAAACACAGCAAAATAAGTATATATATAAGTTATTATCAAGAACTTATACTAAGCATAAAGAGAATAAAGAGAAAATTTATAAAGAAAGCAAAGAAATAATAATGTAAGAGAAAACGCGTAAAGTGAAGAGAGAACGCGTAAAAGAAATGTTACTAAAATTTATATATATAGTGATAAGATTTACGTGATATTGTCGAATTAGGTATTTAATCAACATCAATAATCAAAAACGCCACATTTTTTTTCAATAATCAAAATAGCCACCAAAAACGATCCATTTGCAAATTAATCAGATGCATTTGTCTCATTCTAATCTGTTTTCAGCTAGAATATCATTCATGATTTTCGTTATGAATTTCACGAATCCTATAGAACTTTTGGAATTCATCACGTGGAACTAAATAACTGAACATAAAAAAATAATTGGTTTTTCTTTTCCATTCTGCAATTACGTACTAATAACTTATTATTCGGAAGATTTTCGTACCGTGATTCTAGGAAATTGCATGTGAAATTCGTAACTATTGTGCAACGAAATCTTTCTAACAAAAGCATGATCTTTTTTTTATTTTTAACTTGAGCATATAACTTAATTTATAAAATAAAGTCAATTAAATAAATTTCTACGGACTACTTGACAAGAAAATGCGTTTAATAAATTTTTTATTTTAAAGCCAGAAAACAAAATAGTTCATTAGACCTAGCGCCGTGGTTGTGCTCATGGCCGCAGGCTTGACTACAAAAAAATATCAAAAGGAGGGGCAGTTAACAAATAATGATTTCTTTATATGGGACGTTGATCGTCGCCACGTATATTATTTTTTATCTTACCTAATCTACTCCACGTGTCGAAATCCTTGACAGTCTAAAAATCATTATCCCTTAAATGGTAGTCTAAATTTTGTCAACATTTTATGGTTTAACAATAATTATCTACTAGCGTTAATATATATTTATATATTTTTTAATAAAAATTCTTTTTTTAATTATTTTTATATTTTGCATTTTATCAATATATAAATAATATATATATTAATAAAGGTGAAATTAAAAAAAAAAAAAAAGAATAGCTAGATAGTCACAAATCAAAACTAACTATTCTTCTTACAAATTATTAAAAATTCTATTATTACGTGGGAATATTTCTTTAAGGATATTCTAAATCATATTTCCAACAATATTTTGATAAAAGATCATTATTATACATCTTTTTTCCATCTCCGTTCTGTCGCTTGTAATATTTGACGGCGTCTTACTTCAGGCTCGAGAGTAACTTCTTCATTATCGGTATTATTAAAATTGGTTTGATTTGTAGGTTGTGATTGAAATGATGTGGTATTATCTGAATCATTTTTTGCCCTCGTCTCAACCTCTTCCTTGTGTTTTTTTCTTTGCTGTTCAAGAAATCGCCTAAATGATTATAAGAAATTAAATATTAGTAAAAAGAAAAAAAAATCATTTCCTAAGTTATAAATTATAATGTACGTACTCTCTTGCTTGTAATACCATCGCATCTTTTTTCAATTGCAACATTTCTTGTCTTTTTTCAGCTGTAGCTTCCCATTTTTTTGGAGGTTCAGAAGGGATTAACCCTTTCTTTACTGCATCTTGAAGTTTATATCTTTCAATGAGAGATTGTTGTGTTGAGGATATATTTATTCCTGTCGACGATGTGGATGCTTGTGCTGCAGAAGGAACTGCAAATGGTGCTGTTACATAAGACGGAGGCTTCAGAATATATATATATATATATATTAATAAATGTAATATTGAAAATGATCATAAACTAATTAAAAAATTTTAAATATACCAAAGGAAGACCATCGTTCTGAAGAATATTATCACAAGTAACTTCAACAGAACCCGTTTTCTGAAGGTCATACTGTACCGCTGCGGGCGGTATATTTGGGAACATGGCACATACTGTTTCAATCTTTTTGATTATAGATTGGTTAATCGATTTTATAAACTAACTTTAAAAAGTTCAACTTCATAAAAAGAAGCCTTTACCATGTCAGGAGTCACTGTCCTAAGTCTAGCTCTAGGGACTTCGTTCGCTACATCATTTCCTCTACGATTTCCTACAACCGTTTGAGCAGTTTGACCTGCTTTTCAAATAGTTAAATAAGCTTGTTGTTAAGGCGCCATGTCTTTTTAAATGATAAAATAAATTTACCTCGTAATTTTTTAACTATCCATACGATTATGCAGATTGCAATCAGAAAGCTAAGGAAATCATTAAACATAGCCATGGAAAAGAGAGAATTGTTTGGTTTTTTTTGTCGAGAATTTTTGGTTTTATTTAATTTGTTTGTAAGTCGGGCATTATTTGTGTTACTCGATTTTCTTATTATTAATTCATAGAAATTTATATTATAAGCATTTATATTGGAATTAAAAATTTTCTAATTACAGTAAAGAATATATATAGTCATCATCATTTCCTTCTGATTTTACTTTTATAGTAATTTTTATTTTTTTTTTAAATTATAATAAAAAATCCAAGTTATTTATAGTAAAAATTAAAATTTGTAAAATTTTATATTAAAAAAAATCATAATTAATTTTTGATTATTATTATATTAATTATAATATAATATTATAAAATTTTTAATTATACAATTTTTATAATTTATTAATAAATTTTATGATTTTATAATATAAATTTGTATCAGTTTATATATAAGGTAGGTTAAATGTAAAATGCAAACTCATGAACTTTAAAAATAATATTTAATATAATTTAAGAAAAATAATCATTAAACAAAATATGAGTGTATGATAGTATATAAAAGCAAGTCTTTTGATTAAGTCATAAGATGAATTGATTAGTGATTACAAATCATTTAGGTGTTTATTTAAATGTATTACTAAATTGAAAACTATTTTATAAATTACTCTTCAGAACTACTTATAGCTAATGCAGCAGTATGAATTATTAATCATCATAAAATTATCACATTTTAGTTTTATTTAGGAAGGTATAATAAAATCAAGACTAAAAAAAACTTACTGTTCGTATCCTATTTATATTAACTTAAAATCATATAATTTATTAAGTATAAAAGACTTATTTAAATTTATTTATATATTTCTTTAATTATATGATGTCAGATATTAGGTATCTTAAGAATTAAATTAATTCTAATAGTATAGAATTTTTATTAAATGACATTATATTTTTTACATATGGGCTCTTTGTAATAGAAAAGGAAGAAACTACCAAAAAAATTTTTTTTGAGTTAATGTTAAATCTAAACTTATTTTATTAAAAAAATAATATTTAGCTTATAAAGCAAAAAAAAAAATTTTTTTGGTAGTTTCCTTCCTTTCTATTGTAAAGAGTCCATATTTTATAGTTATAATTATACTTTAATATTAATTAATTTGTTAATATTAAAATTAATTATGTTAATTTGATATTTATTATAAATTATTAATAAAATAATTATAATAATTCATCTGTCAAAATATAATTTAATTAGTAATTCATTAATTTGTGCTAAAGTATAATTATAGTATAGCCTATAATAAAAGAAATTTGTGATATTTTTTCTATATAAAATAGTATTTTAATATCAATAAAATGCTATAAATTATGATATTCTAGTTCTGCTATTATATGAATAATTTATCTATATTTTAATTTAAATGTGTAACTATAGCAAAAATGATTATAATGTAAATTTATAAATCTTGTAATTACTTTATAAACTATAAGGTTAAATAAAAATTCAGATTGGCTATATCTTATTTTATATTTTATTTTAAGTTATAAAAATAGTATAATTAAGAATTTTAAGGTTATAAATAAAAATATTACTTTTACTCGTGATAAGGTTAAAAAAAATCAAATAATAAGATATACTATTGAAATTTTTTATGAATGAGGATGCAGAAGTAATAAAAAGCTAACTAGATATTAAGTAATCATAAGTTTATTTGATATCACTTTAAAGAATTTTTTTAAAAATTATACTGAAATTTATAGATTACTAAGTTTTTATAAAAATATCAATTATATTTCTCAATCATTTACACTATTACTAATTAGAATAAATTATAAATCAGTTTATTATAATTTTATTATAAGTCTAAAAAATGATAACTTATTAAAATAATTAATATATGACATATTTTGTAAATTATGATAAAAATTAACATCTTATATTCAAATTATAAGTCTAAGAATAGATATATGTGATATTTGCTATCATTTTAGAATAGCTTATAATATAATACTTATAAGAAAAATGAAGTGAAAGATTTATTAAAAAAGTATAAAGAACATTTAATTAAGATTAAATTAAAGATAAACTATTATAATAAAAATATGAAATTAGTAAAATAACAGAGAAAATTAATTAATAATTATACTGTAATAGAAGATAAAGCTGATTATTATAATATTAAATACTACTGTTTATTATAGATACAATTAGTATAAAATGTTTACTTGTCTTATTCTGATTAATAAATAAATAAGATCTATTATTTTAGTTTATATAAAATATATTTTATTTAGTATTAAAATAAGCAATACGTAAATAAATTAATTATATTTTTGATAAAGATAAATTAAGACAAAATTTTAGCAAAAGTTCTAATAATATATTGAACATATTATTTAATGGAATTAAAAAATTGAATAAAGTTAAAAAATATTTAAAAATTACTTATGATAATATAGTAATTAGAATAAAAATAATACTACTATTGATTTACTTATATTTAGTAATTTTAATTATTAAG